TTGGTGTTTAGGCACCCAAGCATTAAAAATTAATCCGATTTACATGAAAAGAAAATCAAAGCATATACGTATTTCTGCATTATGTGCAAATCTGCACAATATTTAAAACGATGCTGTGTTAAATTCTGAGTGAAAAATTCTGCCAACTACAAAAAAGTACCTTATATTAACAGTCAGCATTTTTGAAGTACATAAGCAGAAATAAACCCACGGAAATTTATTCTAAAGTAACAAACTTAAAGCAATGGGCCTGATTCTGTTCTTATTTACACAAGCTTTACACCAATGTAACTTAAATAGATTTCAACAGCTACTCTCAAATCAGGCCCATAATGTTGAAATTCCTCAATGTACTGTGAATTCTTTTTCTACTGCATAAAATATTTCAGCTAAACAACATTTTGGGGGTACCTTTATATTCTGATTAGAAGCAAACACTGGCCCTGAATCAAAATATTCAAATCTAACAATGCATTAGTAAATCTGAGCCAAAACAGAGATGCTGCTGCAGATGGAATAAAATCTGCTACCAGAGGACAACTGGTTGTTTGAAGTATTCCTCTTGTTTAGTCACACATTGATTCTTCCCAGCTTACAACATTTGGGAGGCAATGTGGTTCAATGCACAGAGGGCAGGTCGAAGAGTCAGAAAAACGGGATTCTACGCATACAGGAAGTTGTTTAACCTTTCTTAGCATTTCAGTTTCCTCATTGCAAAATAGGGACAAGGCTCCTAAATTACTTTGAGCTCTCTAAATGAAAAGTGCTTTATGAGTGATGCATATTATTATTAATTGATATTTTGGTATCATATAGTAGAGTGCCAATGTCCAAGCACAGTGCCAAATGCAGATCACGTAATAATAAAACGTAGCCCTGATCCAACCTCTCTCAGCAACTGCAGTTTAAGAAAACCTGATCAACTTCAGGGTTTTATCACTGTTGAACAAAAACAATAAACTATTTGTATTTACCTTGCAAAGTAGAAAAAAGTACCAGTACTTGGATTTTTAAAAGTTAGACCTTATTTGCATATAAACTAACACTAGGGCCGCTGGCACATTGCCGAGGTGTCTGTGTTGCAAACATTAGGCACCCTAGTTGCAATACATCAACCCATTTTTTTCACGTCTTATATATTTTATGACAACAGTTTTGGCAACAGAAACCAATAATCACTGCCAACAGCCCATATGTCATCTCCTACTGATTACAGCAAGTACACTAAAAGGACCACATTCAGACTTAGAGTAACTGGGCAAAAGTAACTCCATTAGAAACAAAGCAGTTGCATCCCTTTGTACCACATGTAAATTTAACTCTAAGCTGTTTAATATGAGACAGAATTCTCTATATCAGTGTTATGCTGCCCTTTGCTTTAAAAATTTCTATCACCAGCAGAGTATATACCTGCTTGATTAATTTAAGATGGCAATAGTAAAATATCTACAGTTAATACTGCACTGTGATTCCATACGCAATTAATACTGTTCATAATTATGTTTGCCTAAAATAGTTATAAGATGCTGTGCACTGTTCTATACACACACACACACACACACACAGGTGAATATGCAATACCCCCTCAATTAGCCAAATGGTGTGAGGGAATGGCACTAAACAAATTCAGTCAAACTAGGTTTTGGATATTTGAAGGAATTTTGAATTTAGTTAATACACTTTAAAATATACGAGTCTATGGCCATGTCTACACTAGAGACCTTACAGTGGCACAGCTGTAAGATCTCACATGTAGCCGCTTTATGCTGAAGTGAGAGCTCTCCCAGCAACATAATTAAACCACCTCCAATGAGTGGTGGTAGCTACGTCAGCAGGAGAAACTCTCCCGCTGATGTAGCACTGTGCACACTAGCACTTATGCCGGCAAAACTTACGCCGGCGAAACCCCTGAGTGACGTAAGTTTTGCCAATGTAAGTGGTAGTGTAGACATGGCATATGTCAAGACTATAGCAGGGAGTTTTGGATAACCGGTTTCAGTTAATCAAGCATGTACATAAAACAACCTATTCTGTGCTTGGCATTTGGAGTCAATTCACAATAACCAATTACCACCATCAATTCTACCCAAATGAAAAAAATAGTTGCATGGTTAGTAGTAACGATTCATGATACAGCAGTGTCTAAAGAACAGACAGAATTTAAGATTAAACTACAAGTGTAACAGCTCTGAAGTGACTGTGCTACTGTTACTGAACACCCTCCGTAGAAGTTGTAAACCCCATTCTTCATGAAAACAGGCAGGATTACACACTGGATAATTTGTTCCTACTCTGATGATGATATCATGTTAAGTTTACTGTTTCTAATAACTAGCAAATTTCAGTCATTCATCTCTCACTTTCTCCAGCAGAAGATTAAATCAGCCTCTCAATGACCTACTCATGAGTCATAATCCTCACTGTTTACGATTGAGAAAAATGGTCTTCTCTGTCAGTATTTCCCAGACTGCTGTGGGTTCATTCCAAGAACCAATTTCATCTTCATTGGTTTCCTACAGGAAACCAGACCAACTTCCTATTATTTTATTTTCCTTACTTTCAGCATGGCTCACATAAAATTAACTGGAAGGGAGTGTGATAGAACACTTTATTCTACATAAACACAAGCCAACATAAACACCACCAAAAAACACTGTAGACGTCATTGATTCAAAGTGACCAGAATGTAAAGTAAGCTAAGATTAGAACTTTTTCTCTGAAAGCACCACACACACACAAAAAGTGGGTAATTTACATAGGCTATGATTAAAGCAAGCTTTGCTTAAATCATGTGCTGATGAGGATGTTCACCAGTTTGCAAAAGCTTATTATGAAGAAACAGGTACTTTCCCAACTCAGTTAGTGTCAGCAGCTGTCTTAGAACGTTTGGCATTGCTAAACCAGTTCTAAATCATCTTGATAATACCAAAATATTATTTTTAGAACTTAAAAAGCTAACATACTTCAATTTAATTTTTATATCTATGATCAGACCAGTCATTAGTTGCTGTCTTTAGGCACGATTTGCTTTTGCTGGCTTAGACACAAGAGTTTGAAAGCAATTATGTACCCACTCCCACTCTTGGCCTTAGAAGAGGAAGGAGGCAGAAGGTGCATGTGGCTGATTTACCATTGTTTTCTAATCACAATTCGCTACCAAGTAGTTAAGAGTAGTCTATGGATCCTAATTTATAAGACAGATCTGAAGTAGCAAATGCAAATGATGATTCCCCATGGTAAATGAAACTACATGTGTTTAAAGAGAATTCTGTGATTACAATAAGGTGCAGTTTTTATTTCTGTTTTGTTGATGTAAAGTTACATGCACATTAGGCAGCTGCCCATCCCATTAACAACAGAAAATTCACCTTGTTACTCACATCACTTTCCTGAACTCACAGCAGATTGGTATTTCAACGTAAAACTACTGATTTGTCTCTAGCTGTAAGTTCAACCCTTTGACACAGTTTTAAAATTTTCCATTTCCCCTTCAGAAAAAGTAAATGGCACTCTCTCTCCATTTACACGTCATATTCTTTCAGAGGACACGGTCTACCTCAAAACTGGCACAGGCAGAACTGGTAGTGATACATTCTTATACAGATGCTTGGAGAACTATAAAAAAGTGGAGATGTTTCTTTTCATGAACAAATACACAAATTGCAAATGAATGAAGATCAAGCAGACTGGGTACAAAACTAATTTGAAGCATTCTCTGTTAAGTAGGGTGCCAGAAGCTCAAATTATTTCTACGTCAAGAATAAACCAATTTTAATAAAAGAAGCTGTGAAAATGGTGGCTATTATATTGTGGTTCTGTTACAGCCAATGTTCTGTCAATTAACACCTGAAGATCAGTAGTGTATCCAGGAGAAAAGAAAAAGAAAAAGAAGTGCATCAATGAGAGAAAAGGTTAAATTCTTCTTTGGAGAAAAATCACCAGGGCCAGCAAAGACCTTGAAATGCTCATTTCTGGGTAATCTTTTGCATATTAGTAAAGGATTAAATGAGGTTAGTCTCTTTCACTCAGAAAAAGACTTTCTGTAGGTACTATACAGGACACTGTAAATGTTTTATTATGGCACCCACTATAAATTTAACAGACTAGTAGCAACAACAGATGCAACTCATACACACTAAAACAGTGGTTTTCAAACTTTCTGTATTGGTGACCCCTTTCACACAGCAAGCCTCTGAGTGTGACACCCCTTATAAATTAAAAATGGGGGGGATAATTTAATTTAATGGGGACTCAGGGCTGTCAGCCCCACCGAGCTGACAGTTTACGACCCCCAGGTAACCACCTTGGGACCCCTGAGGGGTCACAACCCCCAGTTTGAGAACCCCTGCACTAAAAGTTGCAAATACCTGGGAAATAAAAATATATACAAATAAAATAACAAAGGGCTACTCCAAAGCATTCCAAAACAGATACCAGCAGGATCAAAGGGCAGACTACTGGTGGACAGAGAAGGAGGAGCAAGTCAAAGACTGCTAGTTAGAGGCTTGGGGTGAGGAATATTATGGAACTAAATATTTCACCCCAAAGGCTTCTGATCAGAACTGAGACCAGCACTCAGCTATTTGGAATGTTTTAGTCAGGTTCATACACGTCATCACATATATCAGCTAAAAATAAAATATTACTTTAAAACAATGTTTTGGTTCAGACACAAACCAACAGTATGCTAGTCTTCTATTAGGGTTTCTTTTCAGGACATTTTTAACCCAATGTTATTTCAAATGGTAGAGACACTAAGCCTCAAAAATTGGGGATAATCTTGGCAATGCCAATTTAACCTCATACTACCACTTGAGGTTTAATTTTACATTCAGTACGGAAACTGGGACAGTATTCAGCACCAAGTTAGTAGTATTTGCTAGGATTTAAAGCAGTGCTCACACATTATAACTAGTAATTGTTGAATAGAAATTATGAATAGAGATACAGTGCACACACTCACTAACCATTCAAAATTCTCAATGATGAAAGTTACTTACTTTGACATGGCTCTGAGCTCCCAAGTTGTAGATTTCAGTGGGCTTCACTTCATTAATTATCTTCACCAGGCAAGTACTGTCTGTGAGATCACCATAGTGCAGCTTCATGTCTTCAGATTTCAAGAATATACAGTTAGACTAATAAAAGTGATATACTCAATTCTCAAAACAATACGTGTCCTTAGTCAAGGTCCTATTTAAAAATACATATACTATTCAGGTAAGAAATTAAAAGAAAATTGTCTAGATAATAATCATTATTTTAAAAAATATAATCTTCCTTACCAGAGTTGTAAGCACCACCTTAAATTAAATTGACAACATTTATGTTACTTGCTTAATCTGTTGCACTTCATTCAACAAGGATATTTAAACTCAACTGGGCAGCTTCACTTATGCTCACCCATCAGCACAAAACTGTTTAGTCTGGGCTTCCAAAACTTACGGGGAACATTTAACAATACTTTTTACTGATTTTTTTTTAAATCAAAATTGTCACATTCAGATATTAGCCGTCACCATTAAAACGTCAGTGACTAAGATTTTCAAAAGCAACTAGTGAATTTGGATTCTTGTTTTGAATGCCCAGCTCGTGACATCTTTGAGGGGCCTGTTCTTCATGGAGAGTGTACTCAGAGCTTTGTGAAAAATCAGGCCTCTATTACTGACAGACAATTCAAATCATTAATAACTTTTGAAAATCTTGGATAGAATTTGTCTTCTGTTAACAAGCCTAAGTAACTAAACCTTTTGCCTGTATTTATAACAGGAAATAAGTACAGTATATCACATACCACTGTCTGGTAACTATTGGTGAGTATCTTTTTTAAATGCTGACTGCTGTAGATTTTCAACAAAGTCTAAATATGAAGGCTAAATTACTTGACCATATCGCTTGAAAAGATTTACATTTTTATGCCTTCTTTCCAAAGTATCTTCTTATTACTACTTTTGCAGTTACCAAATGCTTGTATAGTGTTCTGTACCTTCAAAATATTTGTATAAAAAGTTAACTACATTAATTCATTTCCTCACACCTCCCCCAGTGAAGGTGGGGAACCTGGGGCTGAGAAATTAAGGGATTTCACCAAGACCATAAAGCCAAAGTCAAGCTGTAATTAGAATTCAAGGGTTCCTGTACCAAGTACCAACTACTCAGCTCAGGCCACTAGAGCACACCAATCTCTCGGCTATTTATGACAATTATTTTTTCACCTATCCCCAGTCATTTCACATACATCCCAGCATTATGTATATCTACAATTTTATAATCACACTGTCTTCTTGGAATGCAATTAAAGAGGAGTACCATATGCCCTCTACTGATGTCTATCCTTCACTCTGCATGGGTACTTGTGACAATGTCATATGCCAGGGTAAGAACAGAACAAAACACACTAACTTTGTCACCCATTACTAATTTGTATGAAGGATATAGGTCATAAATATTCTGCTAAATTCTGTTCATGGTCAGCTGACAAGAAAGCCAGTCAAAGCCATCCATAACTGACAGCTCTTTATTTGATAGTTTTTCAAGGCTTGGCTTCTACTATTATTCTTTGAAAACATAATACATAAAATATTCTAATGTTCAATGGTAGCTATGGCCAATTTCCCCTCTACAATATATTTCACAGTGACAACTAGCAATAAATATACAATAGAGTCACACAGAGACAGTGTTTTTGTTTTGTTGCATCTGAAGAAGTGAGGTTTTTACCCACGAAAGCTTATGCCCGAATAAATCTGTTAGTCTTTAAGGTGCCACCAGACTCCTTGTTGTTTTTGTAGATACAGACTAACACGGCTACCCCCGATACTTGTTTTTGTTTTGTTTTTAACGAACAAAACAATGTAGTACAAGATTTTGTGATCAAGTCAGTTTGCTTTCTTGTGTATTAAGCAGCTAAAGATGATTCTCAAACACCTGCAAAGAAGGAATGCTAACATCACTAAACTTTTCATAGGCTGAAAGTGTAGATGATAATACAGTAAGACTCAGCACTGCTGACCTGAAAGCTTTAGGCTCTAAAAATGAAGTACCACTAAGAAAAGAAAAGAAAAGAAAAGAAAAGAAAAGAAAAACTTCATAACAGGCAATGCAACATGTTTCATGACATTACTGACAAAATCTCAATTGTGGTTAGATATATTGGTCATGCAGCTGTTATTTATTCTTTCCTGATTTGGTTAGTTTCTAACTGATACGTGAAAAAGGAGGTATCAGTGTGAGCCAACTCCTGTCAAAACGAAGACACCATGTAACTTATCAACTTTGTCCTTGTCCTCAAACTACAACCCGTAGAGAATTTATCTCAAAATGCAATTTATTCATCATGGTAAATATGTTTTAACATTTCTAGTATCAAAAATAGCGTACATGAATAGCTTATGCAGTACCTCCATTTTTAAAGAAAGCCATTTTGTTGAAAATAATCATTGACTGATTCGTTGTTTTTAATCTGCTAAAGCAAGACCCTGGACATTGCATTAACATAGATTATTTGCTGATGCTTTTGGTTTCCAGAGTGCGTTAAAGGGGACTGGAAACTGAATGGCTCCATTCCTTTGCTTCTGAGAGGTCACACAGGAGAATAGTGGGAGATCCTTCAGGCAAGATGAATAATCTCTCATGTTAGGTCCCACAGGGATCTAATTTTGTCATTCCTCCTGTTCAATGTGAATATGAGACTGCTATGGGAGATAGTATGGGGTGCAGGGTCTTCAGTATGTGGACAACACTCAAACTGTGTGTCTGTGTCTTTAGAATCAACCAGTCAGATAAGAGACTCAGTGTCTAGCCAAGGGTTCTCTAAATGAGAACTAGTTGGCTGAGATTCAGGCAGACAAGAAGGAGATGATTCTTTTGGATTCAGAGCAGCAACCAGAAGAAATTACTCCAGGGGAAATTCTTTCTGCACCACTGTGCGTGCACAGAATTACTGCCCCCGCAGATTTTTTGCTTCCTGAGAGAAAAATGACTGATGGGGAAGCAAAGGGAGCGGTCACACGCCCCTCCTCAGAAGTGCAGCCGCATTGTTTCAGGCACCCGGAGCAGCCAGCGGAGAGGTAAATCACTTTGACGGGGTGAGGTCGGATGAGGCTGGGGACACCCTGGCCAGTGGCTCCTACCTTGCACCAGGCTCAGCTGCTAGTCCCTGCTGGGCTGGGAGCGCACTTCCTCTTCCCCTGCACAGAGCGGCCAGGGCGGGTCAGATCCACCCTCAGAAACCTCCCACGGCTCCGCACCCCTTTTTCTGTCCCCATCACTCCTCAGCTGCAGGGGGAGGGATCGCTGTGCAGGGAGCTGCTTCCCCGTCTCCCAAAGCCCCATGCATCCAGGCCCCCCCAACACCCCTGCTGAGCCTCACCCCCCCATACTCAAACTCCCCACCAAGCCCCCCCCATACCTGAACCCCCACCCTGCTGAGCCCCACCCCCCCGCACCTGGACCATCCCAATGAGCCCCCTGCACCCCCATCCCACTGAGCCCAAACCAGCGACACCCAGACCCCCCCCCCCATGAGCCACATCCCTCATCCCACTGAGCCCAAACAAGCAACCCCCCAGGCCTCCCACTGAGCCCCCCAAACCCAACACCCCCTGCGTGAGCCACATCCCTCCACACCCAAACCCCCCCCTCTGAGCCCCAAACACCTTCTCCTGGACCCCCCCTGCAGAGTCCCCTTCACCCAGAACCCTCCCCAACGAGCCCCTGTGCATCCAGATCTCCCCCGCACCCAGACTGCTCCACACAAACCTCTCACCCCACACCTAGATCCTGCCAGGCTGAGCCTGCCTACCCAAAACTGGTGTGCCTGGCACGGAGGGACAGGGCTCTGGGTGTTTCTGGGTCAGGCCCAGCCCTGGCACTGTGTCAGGGTTGGGTGCAGCCTCACCACGGAGTTTGTGTCCCGGGCGTGGGTGGGGGCCTTGAGGGTGATCTCCCTCCTCTGTGTAGCCTGTGGCCTGTGCTCCACATTGCCAAGCTGGAGCCTTCATATTTATTTATTTGCAAATAAAATTTGCAGAATTTTAAAATATTGTGCACAGATTTTTTTTCCCCCCCACAGAATTTCCTCAGGAGTAAGAAATGCAGAGATTATATGAGTTTCTTCCATGGAAGTTGGGTGACCACTGTTTATTAATGAGGTTTGCAAGTGAGGTGGGTATGAAGCGGGAGCATAATGGTTGATCAGTAGCTGCCCCTGAGGTTCCAGATACTAGAGGTGGTTATAAGGTTGCACTTTTTTCTCTCTCTTTTTTTGCAGTTGGTAAGAAGGTTTTTCCATACGCAGACCTTACTACACTTATCCATGCCTTGGGTCACCTGCATCACTGTAATACAGTCTACATAAGCTATGCCTGAAGACTACTCAGAAATTTCAGCTATTGGAGAGAATGCAATGGTCTGCTTACTGAGTGGAATTCCATACAGGAAGTGTAAATCTCACAGTAGTTTGGGTCCAGACTACCCTCATGACCACCTCATTCCTCTTTACAATAGGGCAGCAATGTATTCAGCTATCACTTCAAAGGTTTTTTTTCTCTCTCCTGCTGCTGATAGCTCATCTCAATTGATTGGCCTCTTACAGTTGGTATGGCTACTCCCACCTTTTCATGTTCTCTGTATGTATAAATATCTTCTTTCTGTGTGTTCCATTCTATGCATCCGATGAAGTGGGCTGGAGCCCACGAAAGCTTATGCTTAAATAAATTTGTTAGTCTCTAAGGTGACACAAGTACTCCTGTTCTTTTTGCGGATACAGACTAACACGGCTGCTACTCTGAAACCTGTCAGTTCATCATGTGAGCCATGGCGTTTTAAACTGTAGTAGACCGATCTCTGATACTGTCTTGGCTGGAAACTAATTTATTTTATTGCTCTTCAGATGATCTTTTGCTATAGCAGCTAGATGATTATTTTCAAATTTAAAATACAAATGACAAGCCTTCCATAATGGGTAGCTTTGACCACCACGGGTCTTCTTTCAAATTTTAAAAGATAAAACCAAGCAAAAATCAAACCAAATAAAAATACATCTTACATTCTGTTCTGAGGCTTGATAGACTTGGGCTCTGTTAAAACATCCAAGGGAGCAAATTTCAAAGACAAAGGCCCTCAAATGAAAAAGTTCTCCAGCCAGATGTGATGGATCTGATTGTGATCTCATTTACCTTAGTGTAAGCCATGACTAGCTAGTGCTAACGTTAAATGCCTAACATAAAGGTGGGGAAGTTTGTTGTGAGGTCTACATTAGAGAGAAACGGTTTCAGTTTTCTCACCGAACATAGGTGATAAAGAATACTATAAGACTATAGCAATCTGAGAATCCAGGAGCAATGACGGGGTAGCACCCTTCCAAGACTGAAGCAGTGTGGCAAAAAAATGGTGATATAACTTCAATAAAAGCAGTGACACATAAGTAGGTCCACACATTTATTTCTCTAAATGCTCAGCAAAAATTCTCATTGCCATTGTCAGCAAGTTCTGGTTCTGTCTTTGTGATGATTTGGGGAATCTGTCTTTGTATAGCTTAAGAACTCTGTGTGATTCTGGGGGTTAGACTGTATTATGTATTAGACATGTGCATCTGTATTAGACTGAAAGGGGGGCTTGCTGCCTTCTCTGGTGTCCTTCTACCTCCATGTTAGACAAATTGCACAGGATGGCAACACAGGGCAAATAGAGGGTCATTATACCCTGATGATGCTCTATTCAAATAGAAGTATCCTTGGAGAAAGAGTTGGCTGCTACCCAGAAGAACCAGTTTGGCCAGAGGAGCTGGTAATTAAGGTCTGGTCTATGCTTAAAACATAGGTCAACATAGCTTTGGCCTTCAGTGGTGTGAAAAATCCACACCCCTGAGCACCATATCTATGTGACCTAACCTATAATGTAGATGCAACTAGGTCAACAGAAGAATGCTTCCATTAACCCAGTTACCGTCATTTGAGGAAATGGAGTTCCTGCACTGACAAAAAAAACCTTCCGCCGCTGTAGTCTGCATCTACACTATGGGGTACCATAGCTATGCTGCTGTAGCACCCTACAGTGTAGACATGCAATGGATCACCTGGCGAAGGTGAACAGAGGATCACCTGACAAAAGGGACTGGAGGTTATAAAAGAGAAGGTCTCGGTCACCATTTTGAGAAAAGAGCAGAAGTAGAGGAAACTGGGCAGAAGAGCACAAGGGTCAGAGGGATAAGAGCGTCCATGATTAAGAAGAGAAGTCATGTGCAGGAGGGGGAACCTGGACTGCTTCAAGGACTCAGCTCTAAGCCCAATGAACTCTCCAAAGTGGTGATGAAAAGGAGGGAGGGGAATGCATACAGGTATGTTTATTACTTTGTCTAAATTGTATATTTCTTATGCTAAGTAAATAGTTATTGTGTCTAGAGTCCTGTGAAAAGTGTATGTTTCTGTTTGCTTTTGCTATGGTATACTCCTGAAGCGTTAACTGTAAAGCCAGAATACCCTCAAGGTTGAGTTTGGGGAAAGGGTTTACTTATGCTATGGAGGAGCCTGAGGGTCAGAAATGGACACAAGGGCTAAGCAGTTGGACTGGGGGGAGAGGGGAAGTCTCAGTTCTCAGAAAGGGTTGCTAGACAGAGGACTGGCACCAAGAGGGTATGCCTACAGACCCCAGGCAGGAGCAATGCCTGGACTCAGTTAAGACCCTGGAGGTTTAAAGCACATGGATTCAGTGAAGTGGCCCCAAAACCACTACAGTCTGGTAAGTGTCCAGCAAGGAAGAGCCCTAACAGGGCTGCATGTGTTATCTGTGTGTGTGTGATAATGTTATTCATGTTGAGTCACAGATAACTGGCTTTCATCCAGACCCCTATTTTTGTCATGAGACACTGGAATCCAGATTTGAGCCTCACCAATATATGGATAATACATCTTAAAACATCTCACTCTTCCTTAACAGCTTCAAATAGTCATTAAAAAGGAGGATCAAAAAAGTGAAAGAGCACAATCCACGTGCAGCAAGCTTTTTTGGACCAGACCTGTGCCTATTCTCATAGTCAAAAGAATCTACCCCAATGCACCAACTGCAATTCTCTTACACAGTAGATCAAGGTTTAATGGAGTAACTTGGAAGAACTCTTCAAATTTTACTATATTTTTATCTGCTACTATGACCAAGCTATGGTGTAGCTGGGGCTTGTTGGCTTGCTTTAAAAAAAAAAAAAAAAAAAAAACAAAAAAAAAAAAAAAAAAAA